CAAAACTCTGAGAAACGGGATATTTGCCTAGCTTCAAAGTATCTCCCCCAAAGTATGTGTTAATTATCATGATGGTTTTAACATCTGTCCAAACGTGCTTTGATACCCCCCCCACTCCAGGAAGTGGAGCTTAATTCCTCTGGACTCACTGACTCACTTCTAACGAATAGGGTATAGAAAAGGAAAAATAATAACTTCACAATGAGCAAACCTGGAAGACACCACCTTCACCAAGTAATGAAGGTTAATAATATCACCATAATGTCATGTTCATATAGTTTACCCCTGACGACGTGGTGGGAAGGGTACTTTACCTCTGCAGCGTTCTTCCCCCAAACCCGTAACTTCAGTCTAATCGTGAGAAAACATCAGGTAAAACCAGATTGAGGGACATTCCGCAAAATGCCTGACCAGGACTCCTTGAAAGTGTCTTTGAAAACACTCTTTGAAAACAAAGGGTGAGAAAACTGTCACTGAACAGAGGAGACACGCTGACTAAATGCAGTGTGGGATCCTGGATTGGGTCCTGGAACAGAAAAGGGACTTTCAGAGGAAACTGAGAAAAAATTAACATTAAGTCCTTATTTTAGTTAGTACCAGACCAGTGTTAATGTTCTGGTTTGCATGAATGTACCATAGCTGCTTAAGATGTTAACATCAGAAGGAGCTGGGTGAAGATATACCATGACACTCTGCTGTCTTGCCACTGCCCCATAAATACAAAATTATTTCAAAATAAAAAGGGGGAAAAAAAGAGAATTAGAGGAGTGACAGGATTAGATTCATTGGGAAGATGAACCCCAATGGTTGCGGTGGAAAAGAAGGCTGGAAGGGGAAAGACCAGCGTGAGACCTTGCCAGGTTGTGCTACAAAAAGTCAGGAAGAGATGATGGAGGCCCAGATGGGAACAGCGACAGCAGGAGTCCGAGGCCATGGGCAAGCTGGAGAGATCTATCGGAGAAAACTCAGTCAGACCAGGTGATGGTTTAGATAAGCAAGTGAGGGAGCAGCGGGCTCAAGATGACACCCAGTTTTCTGGGAGTTAGATGGGTAATGATGTCATCCACTGACGTCAGCAATGGAGAAAACAGGAAGAACAGGTGTCAGGAAACCAGTAGTTTGGTTTTAGTGCTGCTGAGTTTGGAGTGCATTTGAGAGATCCAAGTATCCACTGGGCAACGGGATCTATGGGCTGGCGGGTCAGGAGGAAGAGCCGGCCGTAGACTGATGTGGAGAGTCACTGGCACGTAAAGAGTGGTTGAGGCCAGTGAAAGAATGACATGACCCAAGGAGAGGGGATAGAGAAGAGAGGGCATGAACACAACCATTGAGGGGGTAGGCCCAGGAAGGGGCAAGGGGACTGGAGCGTGTCCAGAGAGGTGGTGACAGCATAGCGTAGGCACTCACGGCTAGGTCCTAGAAGCCCAGAAGACCGGCTCTGCCCACCCACCCATTCTGTGACATGGAGCAAGCTATTTAATCTAATAAGGCTGTTGTCAGGAGCATGTGGCACACTCTATGTAAAGTTCCCAGAATAGAGCTGGGACTCTTGGTGTTAGAGGAATGTTGGCTAATTGGAGGCAAAGGAAAACGAGGGTGGTGGTCTGGGAGCTAAGGGAAGAAGGTGGTTCAGAAAGGAGGGCATGTATTTCATACCCCTTAAGATAGCTATTATCAGAACAGTGGAAAATAATTAGCATTGGAAAGGATACGGAGAAATTGGTACCGTCATGCATTGCTGCGGGGAATAGAACATGATGCAGCCACTGTGGGAAACAGTTTGGTCTTCCTGAAAAAGTCAGACGTGGAATTACCGTATGATACAGCACTTCTCCTCCTTGGTATGTGCCCCAAAGAACTGAGGGCAGGGACTCAAACAGATACTTGTACACTCATGTTCAGAGCAGCATTCTTCACAGGAGCCAAAAGGTGGAAACAAGCCACCCACCTGCCAACAAAGGAACGGATAAACAAAATGTGGCATATGCATATAATGGAATATTATTCAGCCTAAAATAAACGAAGTACTGATACACGCTACAGCATGATGAACCTTGAAAAGGTTATGCAAAGGGGAATAAGGCAGACACAAGAGCACAAATATTGTATGATTGCAGTTTGATGAGGAACCTAGAGTAGGCAAATTCAGAGAGATAAGAAGGTCGAATAGAGACTACCAGGGGTGGGGCACCTGGGTGGCTCAGTCGGGTGGGCATCCAACTCTTGGTTTTGGCTCAGGTCACGGTCTCACAGTTTTGTGGGTTTGAGCCCCACATCGGGCTCCGCACTGTCAGCTTGGATTCTCTGTCTCCCTCTCTCTCTCTGCCTCTACCCCACTAGCGCTGTCTCTGTCTCAAAATAAATACATACACTTTAAAAGAGAGAGAGAGGCGGGGGGGGGGATTACGAGGGGTTGGGGGAAGGAGAATTGGGGAGTTATTGCCTCTGCCTGAGATGATGAAACAGTTCTGGAAATGGGTGGTGGTGATGGTTGCACAACATTGTGAGCGTACTTTAAAAAGAATTTTTTTTAATGTTTATTTTTGAGAGAGACAGAGTGTCTGCAGGGGAGGAGCAGAGCGAGAGGGAGACACAGAATCCAAAGCAGGGTGCAGGCTCTGAGCTGTCAGCACAGAGCCCGATGCGGGGCTTGAACCCACAAACCGTGAGATCGTGACCTGAGCCGAAGTCGGACACTCAACCGACTGAGCCACCCAGGAGCCCCATGGGAGCGTACTTTAATGCCACTGAATTGTACTCTAAAAAATGGTTAAAATGGTAAAATTTTATGTTGTGTATATTTTACCATCATATTCAAAAATCGAGGACATGGTTCATGCTGCAGAGAAGTCAAATAAGATAAGCCCCATGAAATTAGCCTCTGCATTTTATGACACAGGGGCCATTGGAGACAATTCCAGAGCCCTTGTAGTGGAGCAGAGGTCAAAAGCCAGATTACAGTGGGTTGAAGGACGATTGGGAAGTTGTCTGTACCAGGGGCTGGCAAACTACAGCCAAATCTGGCCTCCTGCCTGTTTCAGTGAAGTGTTTCTGGAACACAGCCCCGCCCTTTAGTGTATATTTTGTATATGGCCGCTTGTGTTCTGGGACCGCAGGGTTGAATAGCTGCCACAGAAATCACATGGTTTGCAAAGCCAAAAATATTTACTATCGAACGCTTTACAGAAAGTTTCCCAAACCCTGGACTGGACAAGACCCCCCGGTCTTTCAAGAGCTTTGGCTTCCTTGGACGACGCCTGCATTTCTGATGAGGTTGTTGAGCAGACGACAGCGCCCCTTCGGTCAGCAGCAAAAAAACACACCCGAGGCTGAACAATAATAATAATAATGAATGAGAAGGAGGAAGAAGAGGAGGAGGGAGAAGAGAAGAAATTCCATCCTTCCTTTGTCTAACTGGAGATACTATCTCCAATGTACTCTCTGTTTCTTCTAGCCTTGGAAAAAGGGATTCTAAGTCCCTTCACCCAACCCCCCAAAAAACTCCCCACTAGTAATTTGTCACGTGACTAGTGATAGATAATAAATGTTCTGAGGTGATTACAAACTACAGTTGGTTTGAAGTTTCCTAATGAATGCAAGAAAATGTCCACAACCTGAGTTAATTTCCTTTCTGGGACTGAATGTCGATATTTATTTCAGATCAAAGAGAAAGCTGATGTCTTCAGCCCTTACTGTGCATCAGGAGCTGTGCCAAGTTTGGGGCCTAGGTGATCTCATGGATAGTCATCAAAACCATCAGGTGGCCTTTCCCCATTTCAGAGGTGGGGCGGCTGGGGCTCACTGGACTCACATACCCTCCCACAGACCCCCCAGGGAGTTAGTGGTAGACCTGGGGTTTGAACTGACATCTCCCTGGTTCCAGGGCCCAGGCTGTTCCACCGCATCAGAATGTACTCTTGTGACCATGCTAAGCAGAATCTAATACTTGGTGGGTTCTCAACCTATTTTAAACAATGAGCCGTTAGTTCATAGTAACAGGCCACTTCGGGTGTGTCACAAGGAGACCGTAGGCTTTTGCAAGACCCACTGCCCAGCCTGCTCCCGTGCTCCCTCTGTCCCCAAGCCCCACGTTGATGGTCAAGCTGATGCTTGCTACCCAGAGGTATTTCTCGAAAACCATCATGCTTTTCCGTGCTCTCTGCCAGTGCCGTCTAGCACCTGGGCTTCATTATTCCCACCTTACCATTTATTTTTACACAGTCTGTAAGAATTCCTCAAGCTCTTGGTTGGGCACAGTGCCCCAGGGAGATCGCAAGAGGGGGACAGAGTGGCTTCTTCAGTTCCCATCCATTCGTGCCCCTATGGTCAGTGCACGAACACACAGCACCCTTATGACGTGTTTCCCCTTCGAGGCTGCCCTCGATAACACAGCCAGCCTTGGACTGCCTGGATTCCTGCAGCCTTCAAATCAGAACCAAAAGGGAATTCCGAGGTCATCTACCCAACCCTTGATCATACCGGGAGGAAAACCAACCGAGGCCCAGAATGGGTTGACAGTGTACCCAGGCAGACAGCTTGTCGGTCGGCAGCGGACCCCGGACCGGGAAGGCTTCAGGTCTCCCAGCTCACGGCTGTAGAGCTCCCTGCCGCCTGATGAAGCAGGGGTCTTCCCCCTGCGTGAGGAGTGCTTACCTTGGGGCCCTTTTCATGAATGAGACCAGATGCAGAACTCCACATTGATCATTTCTGTCCCTCCCCTTTCTGCTTTCTGTTAAAGGCAGCCCCCCAGCTCCCAGCTGGCTCCTGTCCCCTCCCCCAGCCGGGAGAAGTTATTACATGAAGAGATCAGCTTACCAGTTTTCTTCAGAGCAGAGGCTGAGCTCGGAGCTCCGGGTAGTACAGTGAGGGAGAGCGGAGGGAACCAGCGCAGTGCCTAGCGGAACTCCAGGGCTGGAATCCCGAGACACAAGTGCATCTGCTAGCTGTTAGCACTTGGCAGACGGAGTTCTCCTCTAGGGTGGTTCTAACTTTGGGTAATAATGTTTGTCAGCTACCTGATATTAACACTGCTCCACGTTCAAACAGCAGTGTTAGCAAGACCTGGGGGAGAGGTAAGCCAAATAAAATATCTTGTCAGAAGTTGTATTTTTGTCAGCACGGTATTTCCTTTTCTATCTACCAAGAGGGAAGAGGGGCTGGGTTTTTATGGGGTGCAAAGAGGAATGCTTTATATTGCTTTTTTAGGCTTGCTCTGCCTTTTCTTCCAGAAAGACTTCTTTTCTTGGGAGAATCCCATCATTTCTAAAATCTCATTCTGAGGTTGTCTGTACAGTTGCCCCACTGGGGAGTTGGCATGACCTTGGTGACAGATGCCTGCAGCGTGCACGTTTCTCCTCCTGCCGTTGTAGGAAAAAAAAAAAAATGTGCGTGTCAGATTCCGATAGGGACTGTTACCTTTTGAGAATTTTCCTCCAGTGTTGCAGAAAGGATACGCATGCTAGAGGAATTGCTTTTCTTGACTGCTTTTGCATCACATTTTCCTCCCTTTCTGCCTGGATGTGCTTGAAAAAAAATCTGTGTTTAACTTTATGTCATAGGTTTGAAGAGGAATAGCGATACATGACAGGGCTAGGACTATGCCCAGATCTACTACGGCAGGAAGGCGTGTTTAAGGCCCAGCAGGATGATTTATTCTTACGGGTTTAGCTCCTATGTGTGCTGAATACATCTTTGAACATCATAGATGCTCTGGGAGCCAGGTCTTGATGCGGGCAAAGAGACTGGAGGGGGACCGTGTAGCCTGGAGAGGGAAGCACTTAGGGGTATCTACCCTCACCTGCAAACAAGCCTGCAACGAATGTGCTCGTCCGCTGCTTTTGCTCTTTCCTCTGACGAAAGGTCTCCAAGACCGATCAGTGCCCGAGTAATGAATGAAAAGACAGCCTCTTTCCCGAACTCATCTGCCTCTTTGAAAAGCCAAGTGAAAAGTCCATCTCCTAAAAAGGCCAGGGGCCACATCACAGCTTTGCCTTTTGTTGGCATTGTCAGGACAGAGCGGGCTCTGAAAGCTTAATGTGATTACTTTCCCTTCTCTGCAGTGGAAGCAAGAATGCTCCCAAAGCCAGGCTTCGGGTAGAGCCGTGGCTCTATCAGCAGCAGGCTCGCTGGTCAGTTCAAAACAGACATGTGGCTCAGAGGTGTGCAGCAACGGGTCATTTGTTTCAGGCTTTTAGCCTATTAGTTGCCCATGTCCTCTGCTCTGCAGATATTTTCTGGGCCTGTGCGGGGGTCGGGGTCTTGAATGGGAGCTGGAGGGACTGAATGGGTTTGTGATGCTGGAAAGCTGAGAGCAGACCATTGCCCTCTAGTTGTGGCTGGAGTTTGCGACTTCCCTGTTGGTTTTTTACTGTGTGGAGTAAATGACAAATGGGCCGGCCTGACTCAGCCTGGAGCACTTCAGCATGTGTGAGGAGAGCTCATATGGAAAATATTTCTATCACCACTGCATGCGCATATGGTATGGGGAGCCCCCCCATGCAGAGCGAATCGCAGCGCTCCAGCAGCCCCTCAGTGGCGGACCAATTACTCTTATTAACAGCAAGGCTAAGGGCAGGCTTCAGTTACCTGCACACAGCTGGCTCCTGGGGAAGGCCACTCTGGAATGTGCGTGCCTCAAGCCCGGTGTCACACGCGGAGAGGCGAGCGGCCCTGTTTCTCTTTGCAGTCAGCAAGGCAGATGAAAAATGAAAGGGGATTACACTGGCTCCCCCAAATCTTGATGCCGTTCAGACAACACTCAGCACTCGGGAGAGGAAGGCAGAAGTTCTGTCTTTCGAGTTAAGGTCTATGCGCTTAGTAGCCAGAAAATCCAGTCAGAGGTGACGCGGTGCCACTCTCCCGTGCCTTTGTTCTGTTCCGCTTTGCTAAATAAAGACCCTCCTGTGCCTCTTCCTCTTCCCTTGTTGTCCCTCTTCTGAGTGTGTGTGCACCTACACCCGTGCACACACCGGTGCGGAGCCTCGGCGACATCACTGCTGTGCTCCTAGGCAGTGGTACAATTAGGATTCCTTTCCCCTCGTTGGAATTGAAATGACGAGGAAGGAACATGAATATGCCAGTAGCTCCCCCTCCCTCCCTAAAAAGAATGTAGTTTATACAGAGCTTTGAAGAATGTGGCATTTATTTATAAGAGCCTCCTTTTTTTATAGGCCTGTTGCTTACAAAACTCACCCATAAACATGTGGCGTCGTCCCCAAGTCACCAAGATTTTCTTTGGCGCTGCCAGCTGGTTTCCGTGCAGGTTTTAATTATCTTCCCTGTGGATGTTCATAAAAACGCATGAGGAAAAGGAAAAAAGGGGGAAGAAAGCATTGTGCTCCCAGCGTTGTTTAGCTGGTGTGGCTCTGCGTGGGGCTGGAGGCCACGCAGCGGACTCTGGGTAGCAGCTCAGGGTCGGTTTCCCAGATAAGCAGGGGCTGGCAGGTGGTGGGAGGAGGGGGCCTTATGCCAAGCAAGCCTTATCTGGGGTCCTGTCGCTGACACTGTTGGCACCGGTAACTGTGAGCCAAGGACAAACAACCTGGTCTGGGGTTGGTGCATGGGTTTGAGAACAAACACGGGGAAGGCCTGTTCCTTCCTTGATTTTCCGGTGGCAGGAGCATTTAGGTTCTTAAGACCTTGTAAAAACATTGAGGTCACTAGAATGCCGTTGGTGTTGTCAGAATTAGGAGAGTGGCCGCGTTCACTTGTAGAGATTGCACGCATTCCCTAAAGAATGTAAAGGGCCACAAAGTCAAGCTGGACTTTTGGGGCTTTCGTCCGTGTGCGAAACATGCCGGGATCCAGTTTCTTTGCAGGACGCAGCAGAATGGTGTGTGGGGGTGGGAGTGTGCCTTGTCTTTCCTGAATTTGGACTTAACCTCCTCAGATAAGACCAATGAGATACTGTTGTATGTGAGGAGGGGGAAGGAAAGGCAACTTAGAAACTGACACAGTTCTAGAAGTGGGCCAAAAATGTTTTTTGTTTTTTGTTTTAAATTTTGATGAAGCAATTTGGCAAAATCTATCAAAATTAAAAATTAAAATTAAATACAATGGGGACAGGGTTTCTCTTTGTAGCAATGAAAATATTTTGGAATTAGATAGTGGGGAGGGGTGCACAATCTTGTGACTGTACTAAAAAAAAACACTGAATTATACCTTTTAAAAAAGCAAATGTTATGCTTTATGAATAATTTCTGTTGTGGTGTATGTAAGTGTTGAACCACCGTATTGCACACTTATGGTTACACTGCATGTTAACGAACCATAATTTAAATTAAAACTCTAAAGTCGATTTTTTACATTAAAAATAAACAATAAATAGCCCTTTGACCCAGCTTTTCCATTTCTAATACTTCACTATGTAAATCCACTCTAAGTGTGCAGAATGCTCTCTGAACCACTTTTCATTATCCGTCTGTTGCAAAAACCTAAATGTCCCTCAATAAGAGACACAAGGTAGGTGATCAAAGAGAATGATGCAGTTCTTTTTTTTTTTAATTTTTTTTTTTAACGTTTATTTATTTTTGAGACAGAGAGAGACAAAGCATGAATGGGGGAGGGTCAGAGAGAGGGAGACACAGAATCTGAAGCAGGCTCCAGGCTCTGAGCCATCAGCACAGAGCCTGACGCGGGGCTTGAACTCACGAACCACGAGATCATGACCTGAGCCGAAGTCGGACACTTAACCAACTGAGCCACCCAGGCGCCCCGAGAATGATGCAGTTCTATATGTACTGATAGGAAATGACCACCAGGATGTCTTGTCAGGTAAGAGGAGCAAGTTGCAGAACAACATGTATGAGACGCTACTCTTTGTGTAAAAGGCGTTAACATACTTGTTCATCCCCCCTCTGGAAGGATATACAGCAAAGGAGAGGAAAGGGGGTGGCTGGGGGTGGAGGCAGGTGAGAGACTTCCACTGCCCTGTACACCTGTGTACCTTTTGAACTGTGTACGATAGACCTGTCTTAGCCAGTAAACAATAATAACAAAATATACTCTATAATAAAAAAAATACTTCATACTGCATATAACACATGATGTAATAGATAACACCACCGGCGAAGCTCATAGCACACAGTGCATGTGAATTAATAGCCATAGTACTAGAGTGCCATGTGGCAAAGTGATTCCTTAAGGGCTAGAATGATATATTCTTTGGGTGGTTCATTCATTCATTTAACCTTAGAACCTCTGTGTTTTTTTTTATTTTTACAATGAGAATAATAATAGTAGCTCCTTTAAGGGGTGGTTGGAAGGGCTAAATGTGATAGGATGTGCAGAGCTCCTAGTTACGGTGTTGGGCACATAGTCAACAGCACTGATTGGCTGTCACTACAGTTACTGTCCAGGTGCTGCCAGGATGTGCCACCTGGATGCCGAGGAAAGAAGGAAAAGATAAGGTCTTTGATGAGCTTACACTTTTAAAAGGGCCCAGAGTGCAAACAGTTTATGATCATGCAATATGAAATTCTGTTTAATTGCAAGAGCAGAGGCAAAGGGGTAAAGAAGCAATGCAACCTGCCTAACAAAGGGAAGAGAAACTCTGCAATGTCGTGTTTGTACTGAGGCTTGGAGGGCTGTGTCTTGGGGGGCCTTCAAGACAATCCCCAAGTTCAGTGATTAACGGCGATTCAGCGACTCAGCGTGTGGTTGCACTTACAGCTATGATCCACTCTAGGGCGGGGATAAAGAGCAAACTCCATGGGTAAAGTCTGGAGGAAATCAGGCAACATTCCAAGGGTCCTATCCCAGTGGAGTCGCACAGGACCACTTGATTCCCCTCGCAGTGAGTTGTGACAATACATGTGAAATATTGTCAATTAGGTATGCTTATTAGAGACCCAGCACTTATGGTTTTTGGGGGGACTGGCCACATAAGCACCCTTTGCCTGCCGTGTACCAACAGTCCAGATTGCTAGACAGGATGTTCAGCATAAACCCTTATTATTAGTACAGTATAAGCACAGTTAGCCACTTTTACCTGTTCTGGGAGTGGTGGGAACCCTCCCCAAATCCATTTCCAAACATCAGTCAGTGACCAACCTCATAAGCAGATCTTTTTAAA